ACAGGGCCTGCTTGTTTGTTTTTAAAATAAAAAAGTTATATTTTTTTTTTCAAAAGTGAAATGAATAAGCCTCGGGCTGAAGGAAAGTCAATTTACGTCCGTACAGTAGAACGCAGAAGAAGACATTTCAACACACTTCAGCAATAAACAAAGTTGTCTAGAGTAATTTGTGCTTATTAGTACGGTTGAACTGGATCATCGAAGGTCAGAAGCAAATAGAATGGGATTAAATGCATAAAGCATATTTGTGTTGTTTAACATTTAATTATTGCAGGTTTGCGTCATATTCTGAGTTGCATTATTTTTTATTCATTTTGAGGAATAATGAATCTGTTTTTTTTTCTTTTTTGTCAGTGAGATGAATTAATGCATATTCATATTTATTTTAGAACTACAGTAACATCTTCTGATTTCTCTCAACATGGGGACAGGAGAGTTGTCAATCAATAAATTGGAAAAAAAGTAACTTGCGTTACGTATTTGAAAAAGTAACTCCGATATTCTCTTGTAAATTAAAAAGTAATGCGTTACTTTACTAGTTACTTGAAAAAGTAATCTGATTACGTAACTCGCGTTACTTGTAATGTGTTACCCCCAACACTGTTTGTAAGTTTCTTTGGATAAAAGCATCTGATAAATGACTAAATAAATAAAGAAATACATTTATTGGCAATAGTGAATCAATGACGTTCTTTTAAAGTTCCGGTGTTAAACTAAAAGTTGAAAATTATTACAGCCTAAATAAAAGCAATAAATATGCCTACACGTTTTCAAGGTCCAAAAAGATTAATAATTGTTTGTCATTTTATAAAATGCATTAAAAAATGTATAGGGGATAAATAAAGGGGTTTTAACAAGGGTGTAAAATTTATTAGGGACACTCGTCCCAAGCAATAATTTTAATTTTAATGTGTATTTGTTAATTTTAACCTTTAACAAACAAGTTTGCTGCGTTAAGATCCTTATGTATGTGCTAGCAGGAAACACAAATTAATTAAGTTACATTTTCCTATATTCTCTTTCGAGTAGTCAAACAATCCAAACAAAACTATAGTTTCCAAAGTTGAACATCGCTTGTTATGATTTTCAAAGGTGTAGAATTTAGTAGCGACGCTATGACATGAACCCAGCGACTACTAAACTGTCCCTAGCAATAATTTTGATCAAACAATTAAATGTCTGTTGTCTGCAGTTATGTCCCCACCACCAGTGTTTGGGGTAACGCATTACAAGTAACGTGAGTTACGTAATCAGATTACTTTTTTCAAGTAACTAGTAAAGTAATGCATTACTTTTTAATTTACAAGAGAATATCTGAGTTACTTTTTCAAATAAGTAACGCAAGTTCTTTTTTTTTCCAATGTATTGACCGACAGCTCTCCTGTTGCCATGTTGAGAGAAATCAGATGTTACTGTAGTTCTAAAATAAATATGAATATGCATTAATTCATCTCACTCACACACACACACAAAAAAAGCACAGATTTAGTATTCCTCAAAATGAATAAAAAATAATGCAACTCAGAATATGACGCAAACCTGCAATAATTAAATGTTAAACAACACAAATATGCTTTATGCATTTAATCCGAGCGTTGAGTTAATGGCTGGTTAGAGTGTTTAACTAGCTGGTGAACTCATGGCAGTTGTGTAATGTTGTTATAAGAGGAGTCTGACTCCACGTGCTTTCTGTCTGTCAAATATACAGGTGCATCTCAATAAATTAGAATGTCGTGGAAAAGTTCATTTATTTCAGTAATTCAACTCAAATTGTGAAACTCGTGTATTAAATAAATTCAATGCACACAGACTGAAGCCAAAATCATCACAATTAAAAGAACCAAAGACTTAAACTACTTCAGTCTGTGTGCATTGAATTTATTTAATACACGAGTTTCACAATTTGAGTTGAATTACTGAAATAAATGAACTTCTCCACGACATTCTAATTTATTGAGATGCACCTGTATATTGTATTTGCGATATCTACATCAAATTCCCTGTGCTGTTATTTATAGGAAACCATGAGGGTGGAGGAGAGCCTGGCATCACCAAAGTGGCAAATCAGATGGAGCAACAAACTTTAGAAGACCAAGAAAAAGAGGACGAGCCCGAAGAGGGTTTGTCTGGAGTTAATTCCCATTACAATTCCATGTGTATCTGCCAAAGTTTTTGTTTTTATGTTGATTGTTATATTGTGACATCTCTATCTGGCAGATGGTGAGGAAGGAGATTCGACTGGGAAGAAGAAGAAGAAGAAGAAGAAAAAGAAAGGACGTGAGTGATTGTTTAAATTCCCCTTGGAGTCTCTCATATCCATCAAAATGACCTATTTAAATGTTTTACCGTATGGACAAAAAAATTGATTCTGTAAAAGGCCTTGAACATAACGTATTCATATTCCTTCATTCTCTTTCAGCCAAAGTTCAAACAGATCCTCCATCTATCCCCATCTGTGAGCTTTGCACCAATGGGGTTTATGCCAAGGGCCAGGAATGTGAATATCCACCGACGCAAGATGGGTACAGACAGCAGCTGCTTATCTACAGACTTTAAACCCAGCTAAAAACATCATAGTGAATATGTTTTATTGCACACAGACGCACTGCTGCATGGCGGATGACCAACGAGGAGAAGAAATGTTTGGATCAGGCTAATGAGGAGATGTGGAGCGACTTCAGACAGGCTGCCGAGGCCCACCGGCAGGTCAGGAAATACGTCATGAGCTGGATCAGACCGGGCGTGACCATGATCGAGATCTGGTGAGGGACACCATTCATGGGCTACATTTGTGATATAAAGCCAGTTGGCTTTCATCGGGAAACTTTGGTTAGTGCTGCTGTGGGGAATTTGAAATGGGAAAGTCGTGTTTACTTGGGGCTAGGGATATGCCGGGATCAAATTTTCATGTTGCAATTAATTGCTAATGCTTTTATCACGTTATACGGTATTATCACGGTATTGGAATTTAGTTTTTTTTAAAGTGCTGTCATAATACAGTATAACAGGTTTAATAACTTTTTTCTTATAACAAAAATAACAACATTTAAATGCAATAAAGCAATACAGAAAAATTTATAAAGTTAAGTTTTACACAGATTACACAGATGCAGACCAATAGGTATCACTTTACAATAAGACCTCATTAGTTAACCTTAGTTAATGCATTAACATTCACAACGAGCAATAGCTACATTTGCTACAGAAGTTACTCATCTTTGTTTAAAAAATACAAGTCTTTGTTCATGTTAGCTCATTAAATAACACAGTTGCAACTTTCGATTTTAACAACGTGTTATTAAATATTGGAATACCTAAGATTAATGAATGTTCAGAAGAGTTTTTCATTGGCAGTTTGTTAACTAATGAAGCCCTAATGTAAAGTGTGACCGAACAATTAAAAATCAAAACACTTTCAAACAATATCTAGGGCATGTTGTAGTCCAGATTAAAATGTAAAAAAAGTTTGAAAATAAATAGCCTAAGTCAAGTCTAAATATTTAAGTATTTGGCGCTGTGATGAACATCATAGCAAATACACAAATCTGAATGGCTGTTTAAATCATTTAAATGATTCAGAAGCAGAAAGTAGTGCAGCTGCTTTGTTTACAGGGTTTCCGGGGGAACGGCTGCATTTAAATGTAGTATTATTATTATTATTATTATTATTTCTGCAGTTTAGCTCCATCTGCTGTCAGAGAGGGAAAGTGTTCCGCCATGTGCGCTTGTTTACATCAGAGTGCGCACGCATCTTTCACGCAGCATACAGCGGTGTTGTGCATTTTGACCAGTTGA